GCTTCTTTCGTGCTTTGCAACTTCCCGCGTGCATCCATAACTCAATAGTGTACACTGTGGTGTTTACCATTTGTTTTATAACATAACATTGATACATTGTAGCTAAAGAGTTCCCTTTTGTTTAACAAATCTTACGCGACCAGAAAAAACAAGCGCACGCAGAAAAATAGTCTTTGCATTTGCTCACGTCAGCAGTGTACACCCATGGGAAAATGGGGGACGCTAAATTGACCAATCAGAGCGCGCGCTTTACTTTGGTTATGTTATAAAGCAAAATAGGAATTGGTTTTATTTCAAATTTTCTGTTGAAAGCTTGAGTTTTATTTTACCGCAGTTTAAATATAAATTCAAAAGGTCGGAAAATTGTCTTCGTTTTGGGACTAGTGGGCCAAGTCTCTTTTTGTATCCATTATTGTCACGAAATATATTTTTTTTCCCTGTGCTAACAATGGCCGCTCGCACGCAAAAAAAAATTTCTGATGAAGCGATTTGCTCACGTTATCAGCGCATACTACCGGGATTTTGAGCATGCCTACGTACACTGAATTTTATTGCGCAGCTCTGCCATCTATGTTATAATATCAATTAGAGGATTACTAGTTGATCCAATACCAAATTCTCCATACAAACAATCATAACAATTGTATGGCAGACAGTGAGGGGAATTTACTTTTGAGACCTTGCGAGTAAAAGGGAAAAGAAGGTTCAATATGAAATTTACAATAATTACTGGTAAATAGGTATACAGACATCTGCTGTTAATTGCAGTGCACATAGGGCTGCTTATTTACACCAGCTCTAGCCCAAACCACAGTTTTACCCAAGCAGTAGGCCTCAGGTATTCTTAGTCTCTAAGAGGTTTGAATTAATTAACATCTAAATGTTATTTTCACTGTTAGCTTTTGGCCCTCTTGACACTTAGGGGTTTCAATAAAATTTCAAGTATGCAGCTGGTTAGTGAGAGTAACCGACCGTACCAACAAGGGCCATCAGGTCCCTTAATCTAGGGGGGTCTGGGGGCATGCTCCCCCCCCTAGAAAATTTTGAATTTGGAAGCTCTGAAATGCCATTTTTGGAGTTCTGGAGACCTAATTGAGTGAAAAGGATAAAGGAAAACTCCCTATCAACAGCTGGTGGACCACCAGTTGACTTTATCTAATTGTAATTGGGGTGCGTTTACTCTGATATGCGAAATCTCCCAGCGTTTACATGCTAGGTACAGCGATAAATGAATGGACTGGAATGCTTTGTATACTGTATTCAAGGTAAATGTACTTTTACTTGTCACTCATGAAGTGAATTTACAGTACAAGGTACTGAGCAATTTTAAGTACTATTTTGATATGTGAATCGATGCTGTCTGGGTCTTGGCCAAGTTGTACATCCATCACCAATGACCTAACACCACCCCAAAATGAGTCGAGTGCCGTGACCAACGAGTCGTGTCTGATCTTTTGATAATTATTTAATTTTTAAATTGAGGTAAAAAGTTCATACAAGCCTATCAAAATGAATCTTAATTTAGTTTTCAAAGAATCTTTCTTTAATTATTTAAATTTAGGGAAAATGTAGCCGACTTCTCTGAGTGAAGTAGCCAACGCTTTTCATTGGCCGTTGGTGCTTATTGAAAGCACTGACACTGTTTGCAAATATAAATTTTCAGATAAAAGGTTCAGCTAAATTGAAGGTATAAGTTTAGAATGTGGCTTTGTTAAACAACAGCTAAACTTTGTTTAACTGGCCCAAAGGGTTTAAACAGAGTACCTAGGGAGAGTTGAGCTTGATATATATCTTATTAACCAAGCGCGAGGGCCGTACTGGGAGAATATTGGTCCGAGGTCTTGACAGTACGGACCGAGCGCAGCGAGGTCTGTACAAAAAAGACCAAGGGCCGATATTCTTCCAGTACAGTCCTGGGGCTCAAAGGGTTAATAAGAGATTTATTATATGACTGAAGTTCAAAGGGACACAAGTGCAGTATCATGATTCGGGACCATTCAGGACAGTGCCCAGTCCAATACTTAGAGAATATTGGACCGGTAATAGAGCATTTTGATTGGTTAATTTTAGTTATTGGCCCTCTGACTGCCTGAGTTGTGTAATAAAGTCAATTATTTTACTTACCAACTTTGATGATGTCCCAAGGCGAATGAGCAGCCAAAAACAATAGTTTTTCCACATTTAACTCATTACATTTTTGTCAAACTATATCAGACAGTCAACCTCTCTCAACTATAATTAAAGTCACTTCTTTTATCTGCTCTTATCTGCAGGACTGCCAGTCTTAACCCAAGTACTTACCCCAAGAACAAAGGCTACTGAGGTTGGTAACCTGTGACCTGCACCAGTGTCACATTTTAAAACTACACCTAGAAAAAAACAAATTTGTACAACTACACTTCTATGATTTTGAACATTTTGTTGAGAAAAGATCATTTCAATATGATATCATTTTGTTTTCTTCCAGGCCAGCTTTGAGGTTTTGTCTTCCGACTATTTGGATGCTGTTTACGACTTCACTATTGCCTTTAGCATAGCGAATGAGAATCATTTTCCACGCAGACCAGCCCCAACTATGTCTGGTATGTGCTATATTATAACACACTGGTAACTGCCTTGAATTCCACTTTTGAAGCTCAATATGTTATAATATAAAGTTATTTGTATTGGTTATTTACTGAATTCCCTTATAACACCCAATATTTGATGTATGTAAATCCAAACACGAGATCAGTCACAAACCCACTAGTTCTTTGTCGTTCTTTATTATCCTTGATCGGCCCATCATTCAGTGCTTCACAAGGGGAATACTCAGCCTATACTTACTTGACTCAAAACAACCGTGCCACCGCAACAGTTAAGCTCAAAAAACTTTAAATCAACCCCATAAAAGGACAAGAAACAAAAGGCAAAGCAGAGCAAAGCTTAAAATTTCATGACTGACTGCGAAAACTAAAAACCATGTGACCAAAGAAAACAATGAAATACATTAAAATAATTACTATTGGCGGGAAAAGACACAACACACTATTTGAAAATATAGTAAAGGGGTAATCCTTAGATCAATGTGTTTCCGCCTTTAGATTTCCTTATTTCAAAAGGACAGCAAGTCCATGTGTACTGCCGAAGGCATGAAGCTAAAGATCTTCCTAAGGTTAGTTTGCAAGATGTTCATAGGTCATGTCAAACCTCTATTGATTTTATTTAATGAATGGGGCTTTGTAAAGTATAACAGAGTTTCCTGTGATGTTGGATTCTCAATTGCAAGCAGAGTCCATGCAGAAATGGGATATCAAATCCTGCACTCAGATATCTCTATAATAAGAATCAATCTTTAATTATTACTGTTCATTTTCTTACTGTAGGATAGTGAAGGAAGAAAATCCTGGATTCACCAAACCTTTGCGGAAAAAGACAGGTGGTTGTAAATTATTTTCATTTTTTATTTTTTTATTTCAAGAACAGCATTATAAGAGCAGTTTGAGGAGGACATGAAATTTTGGTTTCTCAAAAATGGATGAATTGATATCTACACTAAAGACAGCCATTTAAGTAGTTGCAGAGGAAGCAGTCTAAAAAGAGCCTGGTCAGGCTTTGACAGGCTTCAAAGCCCCTACCTCCCAGATGCCAGTTAGGTGTTGCTACAAACTGAGCTTTGTTGTTTAATTATTAGAGGGCTTTTTGAAAAAATGGAAGTCATCACAATGGCTAATCAGAGTTAAGGAGAGATCAACTCCTTTGACTACAATATGATTTCTTCTTACATCATCCCACCAGAGTCAAACAGTAAGGTCACAAGAATAAAGGAAATGATCATCAACTAAAGGAAGCTCTTGATTGTTAAACAAATTCTCCTTGTTAATGCAGTATGAAATGTATAAAAATCAGTATGGAGAAAATGTATTCTGATGTGGTGAGTGGGAAGAGGTCAAGGCACATTTGCTTTTGGGTTTGCTCCTGATTGGTTGAGAGAATAGTGCAAGTTTTCTGGAAGCAAAGTAATGCAAAACGTGGGCATTATTAGATTATTTCACTGCTCAATTGCAAATCACTTAAAAAAAATTTTGAGGTAAGGTGAACAGTTTCAATTCATTGAATATAATATTTGCTCATGTTTTTTCTTTTAAATTATCTTTCTAGAATTTTGAATAAATTTTACCAAGAAGATGGAAGAATGCCTGGGGTTCCACGGAAGAGGAGGTTGCCATGGACAAGAACTTTCCCATATTTTGTGTTTTGGATGGCAACACTTCTTCCGTTTATTATGACAAAATGGGGACGATCAGCCTACTGGAAGATGTGGCTTGTGACAAGCTTTGGATCAGTATCCTACATGATGTTCTTCTCTGGGAAAGATCAGCGGTGAAGTGTGAAGATGACACACATCTGTACATTGTGCAGCCTGATGTGTGACCAGATTTCATCAGGCCTAGCTCCAGCAGTGGTCTGACTGTGTAATTTGTTTTAACAGGGTTCACACTGGTCCTGGGGAAAGACTTCTGGTCCTGGAAAGTCCTAGAAATCTGAAATTTGGTAATTAAATCAAGCTGGTTGATATTTAACATGTATGCTTTCTTTATTCTCATCAGTTGTTGATATTGCAAGGAGAAATTTGGTCTTTGAGGTTCATGAAAAATAGGTACAAACCCTGGTTTCAGGGTGGTTATTTTCATCTTTCCTGCCCTATCATGGTTTGTGGACCCAGCCTACCTGCATTTCTCTTTATTTTAAAGCCAGGAATCCTCTTCTAAAAAAATCTGAGTGCAAAACAATTTTATTTAAATGAGAAGTTTATTCACATTCAGAGAAAGCAAGGTATGTTCAAAATGCCTTTACAACTTTATTTATTGATAAATGTGTATACACAGTGAGTTACTTTAAACAACTGATTGCACTGTACATAAAATGCAATTACCAGCAAAACATGATTGTAATCACAAGTTAACACCAGTGAGAACTTATAAGTGAACTATACCTAAGGTCTAATTTTTTTCTATAATCTACAATGATTGCTACTGTACATAAGGTGTGTACTGGAAAGTTCCTCAAGTCTATTCCTGCTCTCTGTCTCCTACACAGTCCTTTTGGGAGCATTTAAATTGAGTGTTTTAAAACCAAAACCACAGTAATGACTAAAGTGAATATGAAAAAAAAGAAGAAAAAAATGAACAAGGAGCAGATCACTACTGAAAGTAAAAGCAAATATATTGTCCAAAGTGGAGTTTACAAGCAGAATTTATGACTGTTTCAAAAAAATAGTTAAAGATGGCCACTACAATAACATTTGCATTTGCTTAGGCCATCAGATGGAGTTGTGAGATATCTTTGTCCTCAGTTTTCCTTTCCTTCACCATATCCTTGTGAAAGCTTTGTTCCTCCCTCACTTGGCAGTGCACCTTCTGTCACAGTAGACCTGAAAGGCAAGAAAATAATGCAAATCTTGTTTAGAATGTGAATGACAACTAATTTCATATCTAATTTCTCCCAAAGGTTTTACCCATGAATCAAACTTCAAGGTCATGAGATGGAAGGGAGTGATGGCAAACTCAAGAAGCTCTTGATTGTTAGATAAATTCTCCTTGTAGGTACCACAGGAAATGTAGAGAACTTACATACCCATGGTGGGGTAAAAAAGGGTTAACAAAATGCAAAAATTAAACAAAGGTAATCGACACCAGCTTTTTAACTTACTAGCTAAATGGCTAGTGACAACTTAGATGTTGCAACAATTTTAGTTTGTTTACTAGCCAAACTGGTCAAAGGAAATTGAAAACCACAAGCCAAAACTGAATTTCTACTAGTCTGTGGCTAGTTGGCTATCGTTAGTATCAAGCCCTGAAAAGGGGCCAACTTTGCACACATGGAAGAAACTATTCAAATTTCAAATAAATGTAGTACATCCCACACTAATTGGGAACATTCGAAAACACCTCTAAAAACATTCCCCCCTAACTGTATGAAAAGACTAATAAGTAAATAGAAAGTCACTTACAGATGTGAACCTTCATACTGAAATGTCATTAATTGAAAAAAAAAATCCTTTACAATTGATTAAAAAGACTATTTGTAAACTGACAGATGAATGGTAAACTTGACTATTGAACTTGCCTATCATAAAACATCATTTGTCACTAACTGATCGATTACTTAAATGGTAAATTACTGACCTCCTTATCAATAATAAATCAAAGTTTTTCCAAACCTTTACCACTGGTAATGATTCTGAAGCATATTTTGCACTAGATATATGTTAGCTTAGAGGCAAAAGAAAGATTTTGTATGTACTAAAGCAGGGAGAAAGATGTAAGACACATTCATTTAGGTCAAGCGATGGGAAAAGGAAATTTTGAGAAATTAACGCAAATTTTAACTGAATGGTGTAAAACAAAATCCAAGATAATCATGACAGCCGCCAATCAAAACAAAATCAAACTAAACACAAGAAGCTCCATACACTGGAAATTACGAGTGAAGTGGTTGCAATTAATTTCACATTTGCATCTTGTACGTTGGGAGGGTGACATACACTCTCTAAATTATTCACAGAGAGAAATAAAACCATTGCAATTCCAGACCTCTGTTGACATCAAATCTAAAACTACTCTATCGACAACAAAACACTGGAACGTATTAGCTTTGCCTCCGAGAGGGGGGGAAAGGTTTACCCTAAACCCAGGGAGAGGGTGCAGGGAAGGTCTGGTCTATAGTGCCTTGAAGCAAAATATTCAACGATATTCAGTACAATTGTAAAAAAATTAACATTCCTTACCAGGATGACGCGGCGGTCTAAGGCTAATTGATAGACGCTTTTTCTAACCTAGTAGCTACTAAGTCCGTATTGCTCGTATCTCGAGCTTGTTCGGCGGATTCCCTTGAGATCTGTATGGTGTCATTTGTTGCCAAATGTGAAGAGGACGATTCGCTCTCGGATTGGTTTTCGGTGTTAACTCCTTTATCAGTTGCTACGGAATCTAAAGGTTGAGTTGGAGCGGATGAATTTAATCTCGTTGTGGCCGGAATGCGGATTCCAGCAACACCTTTTCTTTCGACATCTTTTTTATCTCGTTTGATTCTTCTCCTTCTACCAGGTTCATTCTTGCGTGTTTGAAACATATTTTCAAAGTCGATTACGTACAGAAAACCAGCGATTAGCAGAGTACAAGATCTCTGTCCACTCTTAAAGGCTTTTTCCACTTCAGGGGATGTTTTCTCGTCATAAGACCACCATCCATTACGACCCTCGTAATACCAAACAAACTCGTCTGCGTCATTTTCGTCGCAAGTTTTCTCTTTCGATTTCAAAGCTTTTTCGTCCTTATGAACTTCCTCTACAACTTTAATAAGGGTTGGATTCTCAAGGTAGTCTACGCTGAGAGAATGACGGCATAGAGCGCACCGTTTACTCCGTAAAACGACTCCTTTGATGCACAAGAAGCAAAAGATATGTCCGCATGGAAGTTTTACCGGATAGAAACATGACTGTAAACAAACTGGACAATCGGGGTTATGATCCATTTCTTCGATCGTTTGAATCACTTCATCTTCGGTAAATCCTGAAAATAATCAAAATTTTACTATTTTGTTCAGTTGCAAGAGTCATTTATCAAGCCTTCTGTGTTAAAGCCAAACATTCACAAAACACGCGGTTTGTTTTCAAAAATATGGTGGCCACTTTGTGAGCAGCTGCCTCACACGAGGAATTATCAATACCCGTTGAAAATTAAAATCACCTACCCTCGGTCGATGGCTTTTCTGCCTCTTCTAACGAACTTGACGATTCCGTGCGGCTTTCAGTCGAATTAACCGTCGCTTCAGCCATGAGAAATGAGAAGTAAAGTTGTTACAAGTCTACGGTACTCCACATGCTAATGATGTTCGTGCCCAGTCGACGCATCATGTCAAATTTTTGCAGTTGTCACGCAAAAGATTCACGCAATTTTTAAACGTAACGCAATCCCTCGTGTCACGTATACACGTAACGCAATCAAAACATTGAAAGGTCTCCACTTGATAAAATTTTGTGAAAGCTTTTTGCTCCTGATCTAAAATAATAGGTGATTTTTAAACCCAACCCCATGCCCTCTGATCCCTATTTCAAGGGAAATTTACTGTTTATACCATTGTGTTTCCTCATCTTCCTCAAATGTTATAAAACTCGCATAGCACCTCTTTCGGCAATATTTCATGAAACGAGATGAGACATATTTCTTCAGTCCGAAATAAGAGTAGATATTTGATAGTTCACATAATCGTTTTCTGTTTCCCCTCACGTGGCTGAAATCAAGTTATAGCTGATACACAACCAATGCCTTAAAGTCGGGTTCATTCTTAAATTTATGTTTCAATGACTTCAAGATTACATAAACCGTATTTACTCTAATAACACCCACGCTTTGATAAGTACCTTACCCCGGATAAGCGCCCCCCGCCCTCAGGCCGTGTTGTCAAACAAGCGCCACGTCAACACCCCCACTCTTTCCTTACTTTGTTAAATAGTAGGGATACAAGGAAAATCTGTTTCTATTGTCAATTTATTTATAACTTTCTAAGCTTCAACTTAATAGGTTAATAGTTTCTTCATAATCGCCCTCCCTCTGATAAGCACTCCTCCTTTCAGACGAAATTTTAAAATTAGCGCCCAGGCGCTCATTCGAGGAAATACGGTATTTTAGGCCCAGTTCAGTCGTTGTGCTTCTGCAGTGCCGAGCTTATTTGCAATTACGTTCGCCTTAAGCACGACAAGAACATAACTCTGATGCAGACATAAGACTGGAGTTGTACGAAATGTAGGATTTACTGAAGAAAAGTATCAATTTTGCCAAAACACAGTAATGTGCCTTATGAATTTTTTTTGGTTCGGCGGTGACACGACGTTTGAAATCGCTGTTGCGGCAGAGTTGCGTAGCACGGCAGATCGAGCTTGTCGAACTTAATCGCTTGCCGGACTTAATTCAAAAGTTTAACCCAGACGCCGTGCTTCTGCCGTGCTTACTTCTGAACTGAGTTCGACACGTCAGGAACACGACCTGTGAACTGGGTCTTATTTAGAGGCAAACGATGGGCGGGACATTCTATTCTTAGTACAGCATTGACTGCAGCTGTAAAATGGTTAAATGAAAATGCTGACCATAAACAAACTTTCTTTACTATAATAACCTTTCTTTCAAATTTATAATTAATCTTGTTCGACTCTCGCTATTTAGCTGCCAAAAATAGCGTCAACTACAACGCTAGATTCATAACATTTGTTGAAACAGGCTCTGTATTCAATTTTCCGCATTTCTTCAACAGTTTATTTTTTAAAATGAAAGACAAACCTAAAGCAAATGTAACAACGTAAAAACTAAATTTCATGCTGTTCTTGATGTAACCGATCGCTTTTAAATGGAGAACGGCACCTGCGAACCACATGCCTTTTTCCCATTTTTATTGCGTGATTATTCTGCTTCTCAAGCCATTCAGTTTCATAATTTCGCCTTCGTTTGGTCGCACTAGGGACAGGTGATTTGTAAATGTTCAAATTTCCGTTAAAGATTTGAAACCATACAAGTTGTCCTGATTAAAGACATAACACAAAAAAGGCGCTTAAACGCGATAAAACTTGTCCTTCGATGGCAAATTGTAGAGTAAAAATTAAAATGAAATATGCAAAATCAAAAAAACATCAAGCATTTATCAGCAACAAAAACAGTCGCTCCATTTGGCAGTCACATACTCTTATAACATGAAAAATTATCATGTCAACATGACATCATTCCCGACGAAAGTAGGTAACGAAAATCCGAATGCCAATCAAAAGAAGTGTTATCCTATTATGTCGCAAAAGGGTTTTAGTTACTGCAAACAAAGTTTTCGTGTCGCCCTCACGAATCTTCGTTTGGGCAACTTTGCAATTCCGTACAATCGGTTTTTCTTCACCACTCCTAAATGCTCCGAATTAAGTTTTTCAATTAGCAATGTGCTCAATTATCTGAAATGATAAAATCTTGTTTTATCTGTTGTAAAGGGACTGAGAAAACGAGGTAGAAAACAAAAAGAACGCGCAAAGGTTGCCATCGATCGCGCGCGTTGTTAGTTCTCCAGTCCTCGTTGCTCGCACGCTGACTACACTGGAAACTTCACTTCATATACTCCGCGGCATTACAAGAAATTCTCACAAAGAGTTAACAGCTCTTCACAAAGGAAACGGCAGACTTGGGGAAAAAATAGCTGTTAAAATGCTTTAGTTTGTCGCTGTCCGTCGGCAGGGACTTAAAGTAAATCGTGGTGTTGTTTAAATCGACAACGTTTGTCGTTCGCTAGCGTGGTTTAAGTGAAATGTCACTTGACTTCTACAGACGCCGTGCTGTGGTTGACAGGATTTTTACCAAAAGCAGATGAGCTAAACGATCCCCAGCGTGTTGTTAATGTAACTTCAAGCGCAAATGGATATCAACACCCATGGAAATGGAAAAATCATTGAACTCCAGTCGAAATTTTAAACTTCCACCGATTCAAAGCGCCGTACCAGCGGCGAATATTCTTCGGCAACCAGCAAGGACAACTTGGCAACACGATCAAGCGCGAGCCACAGCGGTTGCCTTACCTAATCAAGGCTCATCAATTCAACCACGAACAGTTATTCACATCCCGAAGGATCCATTCCCTGGGCGATACAGAAGTCCGCATGTTAGTCACAACATATCGAGTGCATCGACACAAAGACACGCTTCAAATGCAGCGATCGAGGAGAATTACACCGATTCGAAGTTAGATTTCGCACCGCGCCGACATCAGTTTCCACAATCGTACTCTGTTCTCCCTCCGATTCAGAAACCCAAAAAGCCACTCGATAGAGGAAGGCAAGTAACCGGGACACAAGACAGAACTTCTCGCGACGAAAAAGAGAACAACAATCTAACTGTTACTAAGAAACCAATTGAGGATAATAGCTCACAAAGTGATAATCAAAAACGCCATGAACTGCGAAAAGTTGGAAACACTAATGGGAAAATCGGCGACAAAAACCATTACCGCGTTGAAGCGGGAAAAGAGTCATCTTCTAGAACGAAACAGAAAACAGACAATCAGGATAACGAGACTGGAGAGAGAAAGCAGAGCCCTACGACGCTGTTGTTTTTAAAGGGAAAACGTAAAGGTCGAAGGGTCGGCGTGTGTGTGGAAAATGAACCGGCTTTAATCAACGTAACTGAACAGCTAAAAGAGATCTTTCTCCGCAGAAATATGGAAGAAATGTATCTAATCTAGCCGTGTGCACTTGACAACCGAATTTCGAATTGGCAGGTGTTAGTTTAATTTCGTAAAAGCTGTATTTGTTTACAGTTTAACGCAGCAGTGAGGACAGAATCTAAATTCACACTGAGGAAGTGGTGGAAATCGCTTTGGAAAAAAAATTCCTACAGGTCACGTTTCTTGCATGATAGGCCATGTGAAACGTGAAAGTTTTCAAAGCCGTTGCTTCGTTGCATCTCGGTTATTTTCTGTCTTACACAGTGATTCAAAAATCAAGAACTTGGGATTTCCCTAACAACCGATAACAATTAGACCAGTTTCTAATTCTCGTTTCCCAGCTTCGCTTTTCAACTTTGAGTGTTCGCTCTTTGGCAATGAATTGAATGAAAAAGTTCGAGATTTTCCTTGACGATGGAAAAATTATGCATACGTTTATTTCGTAAACAAATTGGTGCGATTACAAATCGTTCACGAAGAAGGAAAAGACCGTTTTCTATTTAAATGGATCCAATAATATCTTACCTGTGATATATTGTTTTACTTATTACAACGTTCTAAGCAAATAAGCGAAATCTATACCAGTTTGAACAGTTAAAATAGATCGAAATCAAACTTATTTAGCCTTTACGTTCATTACTAAAGGGCAAAAACGTCTTGGCTGATATCGAACAGAGCAGAGTGTTTTTTGAAACAACGAAGCTTTCATACTCAAAGTCTAACTCAGACATAAGGTGCAACTTCTGAAAGACTGAAAGCCTTGTCGTGTTTATTTATAGATTTGCAACAAGCTTTTGGAAACATTTGAAAAACAACTATTTAAACCGTTGAATTCGCATCTGGAGGTTGACCACAGATAGATTCCATTCTAAAATTTTTGTAACATGAAGCTTACGGTGTTTCAAGAATCCTTGATGTAAATATGTAAATAAAAGGTGAACCGCATCTTATTTGGTTTTCATGGCAGTCAAATTTCTGATCAAAAGCGTTCCCAAGACATTAAAGCGGATTCTTAACTGTATGGGTGAATGGGACACGTTTTTGTCATCTGATGGCTATTATAAGAAACTTTACCCTAGTTAGCGAGCTCTGCCGGGATGTGAGCTTCACTTTAACTTAAACATATGCTGGAAAAAAAATTGGAAAACATGTCATTCTACGAGTGTATAGGAGTACAATTTTTTTTTTCCCGAAAGAACTTATTTCAGGTTGAAATTTAGAATAGGTACTAATTTTTCAGACTTCATATCCAGAGAAATGAAATGTCACAAAAACTGTTTGTATATTTGTTTAAACATGATTATATGTAAAAAAAAGCGCGACTGATTATCTATATAGTAGTTTGCGCTATATAAATGTTAAATTGTTGTTGTTGTTGTTGCATGAAATAGCCAGTGGCAAAATCTGTTATCTAGCAATTGCAACAGAAATAAGTTTACTTAAAATAGCTTTAAAAGCCTTATTTCTCATTAAAAATCGTAGGGAACTTTGAACATAAGAACCCGCAGATAATGCCCGATCGACTTATTCGTGGATTGTTATCCTATGCTAATATCTATTCTAAAAATTGTAGAAAAAGAATTTCGGTGAACCATTTTCGTCGATTTGCTTTTGTTTACATCATTGTGAGAGCATGCCAAAAAAATTACATGACATTTGCCTCTAATTTTTTTTTTCGTTTCCAGTTCCCCAATAGTGACACAAAATCATAGCGGAAATTGTTAATTTTTTAGCGAAAAGCAGAACTAGACAAAGTTAACGATAACTTTATCTAAATGTACGGTTAGATTTACGATATATATTTATTACTCTATCTAGAAGTCGCAAAATACTTTGGAAAAGTGAAAAATAAACCATGTAAATCGGGCTTCGAAGTCGTCGAACTTGAAAGAAGTCGTGACTGGCATTGACCGCTCGGCCAAACAGACTCATCACTTCAAGCGGCCTAGAGCGGCCTAGTCGTTTAAAATATGCGTATGTACGGGTTGATCTGGAAAGCCTGGGATCTAATAAACATTTTGGCTCCAAATTCGTACGTGTTGAA